CTTCACAGAAATATGTGAAGACTTAATAACACCAGACATCTCACACAGTCCCACAGTGCCAAGAAGCAGTGAGGATCAAGGCCCATATTTGCAAAGGACGGGATTTGGGGTTTAGCTTCAAAAGTCCAGCTGTGAGTCTGAGATCAGAGGCAGAAGAGGAGCCCAAGTCAAGACTTGATCAGCCAGCAATGGGGAGCCGGGACGGGCTCGAGAATTCCACAATCAGGCAGACAGAGGTTTCTTCAGTGTTCATCAGCACCAACGGGTCCTCAGAGGTTCCTAATAAGCAAGGCCTTTGTCTTCTGCTCCCAGTTTTCCTGTGTAAGATGTCTTAAATATTTAAGAGCAACATTAAAGCAGCAAAAATGGGAAGGAGGAAGAGTAGGTTTGGATTATGCATGGTCTCCTATTTTTTTTTTTTTTAAAGATTTTATTTTATTTATTTGAGAGAGAGAGAGAGCACAAGAGGGGTTAGGGTCAGAGGGAGGAGCAGACTCCCCGCTGAGCAGGGAGCCCGATGCGGGACCTGATCCCGGGACTCCGGGATCATGACCTGAGCCGAAGGCAGTCGCCCAACCAACTGAGCCACCCAGGCGCCCGCATGGTCTCCTATTTTTGACAATAAACACCAGACCATTTAAAAAGGTCAAGAGGAACTAATAAACATGCACAGTGCCTTATATAAGGCAACTGTGTGTCATTCCAGAAATGGGGACAGGAGGACACGGCTGATCAAGCCTCATGGGTGGTCTGAAGCTTTTCAACTAACAACCAGCCCCAAGAGCATCAAACAGCTAAGCCCTCCTTGGCCCTGGCTAATGTCAAATGCCGCCACAGCTCCTGGGTACCAGCTTTACCCTCGTAAAGGGCAAGTCTACTCTACAAAACAGGGGACGAATTATGTTCAGTTCTTGCATAAGCTAAACACAGCCTGTTCTTTGGAGGGTAAAATGAAGGTCTTGTATGAGCCGGACATCTAAGGCATCTGGCCATGCTCTTCATCCTCCCCACCAACAAATCCCTGTTCATCAGTCACAAAGGAATTTGCTTCCCCATCATGCAACTTGCTAGAAAATACAAAGGAGAGAACGGCCACTCATTTCCTGATTGTGCTCTGATTCTGCTAAGAGGCCCAAGAGCGTGCAATCAATCTGCAAAGAGCAGAATGATCTCATCTTTAAGAAAATTCAGGAGGCTCTGCTAAACCTGGAGCAGAAAATAAATGGGTCTCTCTACTTCCATCGTAACTCAAAAAATTTCCAGTTTCCTCCGAAAGGGTGTTTCTCCATCTCTCTCCCAGGACCCGAGTGTAATCTCAGATTATTATGGTGAGCTGCTGCTGGGAGGGCAAAGCAGGAAGGAAACGCTCTGGCTCACTTCTTTCTGGGGTACAGGAGGGTCTTGGCACTGCCCTAAGTCTGACTCAGGGCACTGCCACCCCCAAATTCACACTGGCACAAGCCAGGCACCGGGGGAGTTTCACCAAGAAGGACAATGGGGCCTCTGGCAAAGGCTCTGCAGCTTAGATGCTAAGCAGGCACAGCCTGAGCCGTTCCAGGGCCTACTTGCAGGAAGGCGGACCCTGAATTGCAGCTCCCCTTCCCTTACAAAATGGGATCACCAGCCACCAGTGGCCCCCAAATGCCAGTCTGGCAAAATCAGGATCATCAGGGAAACTTCTCTGAGGTCCAGATGTCTGGGCCTTACCCTGAGAAATCTGGATTCAACATGGGGCGGGGGGGGAGGGCCGGTAGAGGGGAATGACACAGCTAGCGATCTGTGTTCTTAAAAAGGCTTCCCAGGAGACTGCTGGCCTTGGGGATCTGTGCTGGTGACCTCTAAGATCTGCAAAGCTAGAACAGCCCTGCTCGTGGAGGGAGAAGGGTCTCCCTCTGGTCCCAGGAAGCCTTGTGAGAGAGCAACACAGCACCCCACTCCAAAGCATCTGGTCTTTGTTTAGTCAGGGCAGAACGTGGGAGGAGCGGCTGCACATCCTCAGACTCCAAAGTGAGTGCCAACCTCTCTGCCAGGGAAGGGGCCTGGACCGGAATGAACTTGCCAGGAGATTAGTGGCAAGCCCACGTGCGCAGAAAATCAACATCCAGGAAGCCTACAGGTGGGGAGGTCCAGTTGCTTGGAGAGGAGCTGGATAAAGCCCAAAGCCTTAGCCTGTAGTCACCTGGCCTCTTCAACGGAAGGGCAAGACACTTGCTCTCACTGCCCCCCCCCCGTAAAACTGGGGACAGAGAGTCACTCTACTTACTCAGGGCATTGTGGGAGGACCAACTCGGAAACGACAGAACGCAAGACTCAATGAAACACAAAGTTCTAGTCCCTTCCTTTCCGTGAAAGCCATTCCTTTACCAATAAGGTTAGACTGCAAACACCCAGAGATGGTCTTCCCCCCAAAAAAGGGCTTCCTCTGTTTTTCCATGCTTAACAAATGGCTCTTTATTGATTGACTGCATCTCCTCTTGAAGACAAGGATGTTCAGAAGGTCCTTTTAGCTCAGCTCCTCCAAAATCGCCCTCTGTTTCACGCCACGGCCCTTTCTTGTTACGCATTAAGAAGCCAATTTCTTATATAAAACAATATTGAAGGATTTTCCATTGTACTTAGTCTGGAGGAAGATGTCATTCATGGAAGTGAAACTGAATGAGTCACCCCGATGTTCTATGCATCTCAAAGCACAGGTGTGAAAGCCATGAAGCCCAAAGAGCAAATGAACGGAATGTTTATTCTCCCCTTAAATTCTGGTGCCATGCTGACTAATCTCCAGTAGTTAATCTGGTAAAGAGAACTCATTTCTTGAGTTACCAAATCCAGTCCTCACCATGCAAGTAATCACAGCACAGAAGTCAGCCACACAGTACTTGGCGGCCAACTGGTGGCCGGGGGGACACAAAGACAACCAAGTATTCCAGCCTGCACGCATCACGGCTTCACAAAAATTCTAGACACTTCTACCACCTTCTGAGCAGATACCCTGCCTCTTATCAGGACCGTCTGGTGTAGTTCTCTTTGCTATTAGTACCAGCTGAGCGACCCTTGGAAACACACTTGACCTGTCTGGGTTTCTTTCTCAGTAAAAGGAAGAGGTTGAGCTAAAAGAGCTTCGTGGTCCTTTCAACTTCAAAATTCTGACTTAATTTTCAAATCCACTTTTCTGGCATCAGACTTCTGATTTAGTGGCTGTTTTCTCTATTTGTTGAGAATAATAGTAACTCAACCTGTTTTTTCCCCCTTTAAAAAGGCTTATGAAACCACAGCCTAGCCAATCTACTGGATGGGTACACGAAGATCTCAACTTGCTGGGTGAGTCTTATTCTAAAAACGAAGTGTTGGCAATCTGGGTTTACGCTGCACTTACAGTGGCTATGTTCAAACTTGACCTTCAGTCATAACAAAGGGTGCCTGCAGATTCCGACAGTCCCTGTCTCTATAGGAAGGAGGCCTTGAAATGATAAGTTTTACATCACACCATGCAGACTGCAGTAACAGGGCTGGTTTGAAATGTGCTTCAGTTTCACCCAATTATGGGCTGAACAGACACACAAAAAAGTATATATAATTATGCCCATCCCGGCTAATTACATACTCTTGTACTAATTTTCAGATAAAAATATACAATTAATTTCTTACAAATGTAAGTTGCTGAATGTTCAACGTCTCACTGTTGGGCACCAGGTTTTCATTAATATTTTTAATTTAAAAAATGCATAGAAATGAAAGTGGATGATACAAATATTTCTCCTAAAATAATGATTTATAAAGCACCTTTAATTTTGTGAATTTTTTCCTTTAAATTAATTTTGTGAATTTTTAAATCTTCAAAACAACTGACCAGCTCTTTATGACTTTTTTTAAATTTTGCCCAGGCAGCATAACATGCCCCTTTCTTTAACTGTATTTCTCTTTTGCCAAGCTTTTTATTTTGAAATAGTTCAAATTTATAGAAAATTGGAAGTGTAGCACACTCAGTTGTAATCTTTTAAGTTAACAGACTGATTCCAAATTTCTATTTCCAAACTTTCACGCTCTTAAGTGTTAAAGAGCATATCTTTGCATATACATAAATGAGGCATACTTCTGCTACATTCACAAAAGTACTTCTGTATTAGTTGTGTATTAGAAAGAAATCCTGGGTATTTTAATACCATAACAATGAAGGGAATGTATGCCATTAAAAAAAAAAACAACAAAACTATTCTCTTTCAAGCCAGTGTGAGGCAATGTCTTAAGGCAACGGTCAACCGTGAGACAGTCTCACATCTTTAGTTTAGAAATTGCCTGGGAGAAGAACATCTTGTTTTCAACAAATCATACTAAAATATATTCTTACAGACAACGTTTCAAACAATAATACAATTTTAATTGCAGATACAAAAAGGGGGAGAAATGAATTTACACCAGTCCCCTGAGTCACTCTGTGCCTGAGATAGTAAAGTCAAGGTGCCCCTCGACCAAGTTGAGGAACTTCAGGAGGCAAAATTCCTTCCAGACCACCCCCAAGCTTGCGAGTGGCCCCCTACGCCGTCCGCCGGAGCACGGACAGCAGTGAAACCCGGACCTTAGCCCGGGCGGGCGGCTGCTAAGGCCGCGGCGGGGCCTAGCCCGGGCCTCCAGAGCTGACCAGGCCGGCCGCCCCTCCGGAGCCCGGGCCAGCCCCAGCCATCCGGCCCTCGGCCCTCGGGGGTATGGGCCGGTGGGACGGCACCTGGCGCCACCGCGCGGGTCGCACTTCCCGGGCCGACCCCCAGGAACCAAACGCGGCCCGGGGAGGACAGTGCCCCCCCCCGCTTCGGGGCCTCCCCCTCGCCCCGACGCCGGCCAAGGGCGGACAGGAGCGGGGGCTAGTTGTGGCGCAGCGGGCGGACCCCGGGCGCGAGCGTCCGCCGGCAGGTGCGTCCGGGGTCCCCGCAGCCCCGCCCGGTGCAGCCACCCCTGCAGCTCGCCGTCGAGGGAGGCCGCCGGCCGGGGCGCGGCGCAGGCTGGCTCACCTTGGGGCCCTCGGGGGGCACGCGCGGGTCGTTCCACGTCGTGGTGCGGCTGTTGTGGTCCACGAAGAAAGGCCAGCCGGTCTGCGGATCAATCTTGATTTCCCAGCCGGGGGGCAGGGGGTCGCCGGCGCCGTTGCCGGACGCCATCTGCACCATGGGCGAGTGGGTGGCAGCGCTCATGCTGGGTCGGGGTCGGCCCGGAGGGGCAGCCGCCGGGGTGCCGGGTCGCGGGGTGCCGGGTCGCTGGGTGCCGGGCCTCCAGGCGCCGAGTCGCTCGCTGGCCGCGGCCGGATCGAGAGCGGTGCGCGCCGCCGACGTGTCCGGGAAGCCGGCGCGGGGCACCTTTATGAATTAAAGGAGGGGGTGACGTGGCCGGAGAGGGGTGGAAGTGTCTGGAAATAGCCTCCTCGCTGCCAACCGGGAAGGAGATAAAGGGAGGTAGCAACTGGCCGGCTAGAAACTTCTGGTCCCATCCAGAGAAGTTGGCGGCGAGAAGCCTGGATGCGGAGCTCCGCCCTGAGTCATCGGCTATAATCGGGGCGGGGCGGGGCGGGGGCGGGGCCTCGGCCGCCCGCCCCTCCCCCACCCCTCCTTTCTCAGTCACCCCGCCGCCCCGGCGGGTGTTCCCGGGCCGAGACTGGCCGGCGGGGCGGGCAGCCTCCGGGGCGTCGCCGGTGTGCGCTGGGCCGGTTTCGGTTTTCAGACGCCCTCCCTCTGCTTGGAGCCGAGTAGGTGTTCCCTGGCCTGGGACTCGGCGCGCGGGGTGCCTGCTACAGCTCTTCCTATAAAAACAAAGTCATCGTGAGCCTTTAAAGTCGTGGGTTTCAAACTAGAGTCTCGCCCACCCCCCTTTGCTCCCGTATACACAGATACTCAGGGACACTGGCGTCCCTCAAGTACGTTTTAATCACTTTTTTCAAGGGCCCGAGGAGCTCCGGAATGTGGATCTGACACCATAACAAAGCCAGGGAGAAAATGCAAGTGCAAATAGAAACTCACCTGCCTTCTTCTGAAGCCTAAAAAAAGATTGCATCAGCCGTGGTTTTATGCGTCTCAAATATACAAACTACCATTGCAGTGAACAACTTTAAAGACGAATCACCTTCTTTTGGGTTTGGATCTTTTTTATGGTAGAGATTGTTTCTTGCTATCTTAAATCTTGACCTTCATTTAGGAGTTAGGGACCAAGTCCAATCATGAAAAATTGTCGTTTGGTTGATTCAGTGGTGGTTGTACTTGTAACCTAAGCCAAGCAGTTCCCAGGAAGAGCATGTGCCCCCAGAGGGAGAATTTGGAGGAGGTTCCATTTAAGATTCTTACGCAGGCAGACTCATTCCCTTCCCCAGAAATATTTTGGGAAGTTGCTTTCATTAAAAAGAAAACCACAGGTCCAAAATGGTGTTACTTGGGCCCAGGCCAAGCCACCAAACCAGGGTTTAATACCTAACTTAATTTCAGTTTCAGCGTCCCCCAGAAATATGTCTAAACCTGTCAATCAGGAATTTTCTGATAAGCACAAAGAGGTAATCTGTCACTTGGGCCTTTTCTATCCCCCAAAGGAAGATGAGGTTATCTGCAAAAAAGAACCCCTGCCCTTCCTCCTAAGGGAGGATGATCTTGCCTGAAACAATCCTTTTTTTTCTTCCTCCTTCTCCTCCTTTCTTGCCCCACCCTCCTTCTTATAAAAACCTTCCATTTTGTACAACTCCTCAGAGCATCTATTTGCTAGATGGGATGTTACCTGATTCATGAATCTTTTAATAAAGCCAATTAGATCTTCGATTTACTCGGTTGAGTTTTGTTTTTTAACACTTTGGGTTAATATTGGACCTAATTTTTCAACAAATTCAGAGAATATCCTGGAACCTCTCTTCCTGCCTCAAGTTACTCCTTTTCAAACAAATGCAAGAATGGCCTCCTGATCATTCATTTCCAGTGGAATGTTTCCCATTTGCATGGGTCCGCTTGTCAGCTTTGAAATCCAAAAACTCAGTTTTGTGAAAACGCATAGGTGGGTAAGCCCCAGGGTTTGACTCAGCTCACCAAACACATAAAAGACTAATATATAAACCCAAATGCCAGTGCCCCAATTTCTTAGTAGTAAGAAATATTACTACTGGAGGAGCTGGACCCTCAAGTTCGCTGGTCAGTGTCGACTTTACTCTTCTATCTGAAGCTCTTAGCACAGGGCTGGGCTCAGAGTTCATATTCAATAAATATTGATGTTTATTGAAGGTTGAATCCAAAGTGAATTTGTATCTCTTTCCTTTGCTCGATTTGTTTTCCACTCCAACTACAGTTCAAACACTAAGAGCATTCTTTACTGGCTTTTTTTTTTTTTTTTTCCTAGGCAGAAGGAGAGAGGAAACAGTTTTCTCTGGGATTAATTTAGCTGTTTCTGAGACTTGTACCCCATCAGGGGCTTCGAGTGGGTTTGTCTAAAATGGAGCCATAAGTCGCAGAGTGCTGGCTGAAAGAAGCTCCTTTGAGTCATTCCAAATAACAGGGAGCTCGTCTGTCTGTGGTGGGTTTTTTGTTTCCTTTGGGTCTTAGGACATTAGTTTCCCAGGTGCTGTGGACTGAATGTTTGTGTCCTCCCACAATCATATGCTGAAACCTATTCCCCCATGTGATACTATTTGGAAGTGGGCGTTTGGGAAGTGGGAAGTGATTAGGTCATGAGGGTGGAACCCTCGTGTACGAGGGTCATGCCCTTATAAAAGAAACCCCAGAGAGCTCCCTGCCTCTTCTGTCAGCACAAGAGGACGCAGCAAGAAGGTGGCTGTCTGTGAATCAGGAAGCAGGCTCTCACCAGACACCAACTCTGCTGGTGCCTTGATCTTGGACTTCCCAGCCACCAGAACAGAGAAAAATAAATTTCTGTTGTTTACCAGCCACCCTGTCCCTGGTGTTCTATGATAGCGGCCTGAATGGATTAAGACACCAGGCCTTCTGGAGATTGCCCAGATCAGAAGCTTAAGCATTGACCCTGGGTTCCTCTTTCTCTCTTACCACCCGGTCATCACCAAGCTTATGGATTCCTCTGCCTCAGTATTCCTTGACTGTGTGCATTTTTTCTTCAGTACCACCAGCATGGCCCAGGTCACTCTAACCTCTCATCTAGACCCAGGCAATGGCCTCTAATTTTGTGCATGTCTAATCCCTTGCCCACATGGCAGCCAGAGTGACCTTGTTCAAGCACGAATGGACCATGCCCTTTCTCTGATTAGAATGATCTCATGGCTCCCCTTGCCCTCTCTATATTCAAGTCCACACTCCTTGGCTTGGTGGACCCAAAACCCTGTCTCCCCTCTCCTGGTGCACACTCCGTGCTGACCTTGCTGAGCTGTATCACTCACACACTTCTCTCGTCTGCACGCACTGCTTCTTCCACCTTCTTCCCCACCCCCAGCACCTGCAACTCCCTGTGTCTGGCTGACTCCACTTCATCTCCAGGGACCCCCTTTGGCCTCATGCTCCTTCACCCTCCCCGTGGGGGTCCCATGTCCCTTCTACATGCTCTGATACAAATCCTGTACCACCCCATCCCAATTGCACCGCCCTGCAATTGCTTGTTTGATGGTCTGGTTAGCTTATGGATTGAGTTTCTTGAGGGCAGGTGCAGAATCCTGACAGCTACTGTGTCCCAGCCTCGGGCAGAGTGCCTGGCAAATAACAGCTACAAAAACAGCAGTAATTGTAACGGCTGCCATCAACCAAGTATTTACTGCAGGCCAGTTATTGTGCGATGGGCTTTATGCAGATTATCTCATCTTTGTTGGGGTGGCTGTGATCCCCTTTCAGGAATGAAGAACTTATTCCCCCAGATGCTGGGAACACTACAGGAAGATCAATCTCATTTGTCCTTGGGGGACTGGCTTAGCTGGGGAAAACTGCCTCGCCCAACATCACTGTGCAGGAGCACCCTTCATCCAGGGGCTGATCTCCTGAGGGGCACAAGGGCCCTGCCTTTTGGTCCAACTCAGGGTAGGGCTAACAAGCTCTCCCCTCTGCAGAGCACTCCCTGGGGTGGAAGCTGCTTTCCTTGGGATTGCCTCAGAGCTCAGCTCCTCCTTCTGCCCATTCCTGCTTCTAGCTCTCCCTTTCACTGGTGTTGCTCTTAAGAGCTCTTAAAAGGACTCCCTCAAGAAACCCTGCTTGCTGACTTCTGTCTCACAATCTGCTTTGAGGAACCAAACCTAGAACGATCCTCTCAGCAGCCCTATAGGAGGGTATTATGATGACTCTCCCTTTACAGACGAAGCAATTAAGGTTTAGAGATGCTACGTAACTTGCTCAGTGTCCCAAAGCTCATGATGTGCACAGGTGGGATTTGAATGTAGGCAATTGATTCTAGAGCACGTGCTATTCACCAGGCACTCAATAAATGTAATAAGTGAACCGATGGTTTCATCCCCCTAGTCACCAAGGACAAAGTGTAAAAAGCTACAATTCAGAAACAAAGTTTTGTGCCATAGTTGTTCTCAAGGCTGGGGAGACAAGAGGAAACCCCAGGCTGCTGTGGCCGGTCCTGTCAGGCCCCCTGCTGATGGGGATGCGCCTGGCTGACTCACAGCACAGGTCGCAGATCGTGGACTCACGCCCCAGCTGTAAGGGTGAGTTCCAAATGCAAATGTCACCCAGAAGATTTCAGTGTCTGAATAATTCAATACACTTCTAATGGAACACATGAGCTGGCATAAGAGAACAGCCAGTTCTCCCTGATCAGTGCAAAATGTTGATCATCTCAAGTCATTTTTGTTTGCCGTTGGGATGTTATCAGAGATCGACACATGCAGCCATGCACAGCTTTATGAGCCAACCCCTCCCAACATGACCCTTCCGCTCTGGGCAGCCTCGACAAGGAAAGCCGGAGCCACCTGGTTGGAAGCGATGGCGTCTCCCCAGTGTCCAGTGCGTGGGGGGAGAGGAGCCCCTGGTGGTAGGTGTTAGAGCAGAGAGGGGACTAGGAGATGTCCATTTGTGCTGGGAAGACCTCGATGACAAGCTCTAGAAGTATACCCTCATGGAGGGGGAGGGGAAAAACACCAAGACAGTTGGCCCTTGAACAACATGGGTTTGAACAGCGTGGGTCCATTTATACATGTTTTTTTTTTTTTTTCAGTAGACACAGTACAGTACGGTATACATATTTTCTCTTAGGATTGTCTTCACATTTTCTTTTCTCTGGCTTACTTTATTTATTGTAAGAATACCGTATCCAATACACGTAATACAGAATATGTGTTAACAGACTGTGTATGTTGTCTGTAAGGCTTCTGGTCAACAGGAGGCTGTTAGTAGTTAAGTTTTGGGGGAGTCAAAAGTTATGCATGGATTTTCAACTGTGTGTGGGAGGTTGGTGCCCCTGACTCCCATGTTGCTCAAGAGTCAACTGTATGGCTTAGCTGTAGAATTTCAGATTTCAGCACTAACTTCGCATCTGTTTAT